TTGCGCGAGTGGCCCGTCGTCCCGACGGAGTTTATGGATCCAGCCGGTGACCCCTGGATTGGAAAAGTGTCCCGCAGGGTATGCCTTCTGGTTGTTCCTCGTCGTGATATTCCATGGTGGTTTTCTGTTGCTTTTGGCACTGAGTCACTGTTAAACGGCAATTTTAGCATCGGCACTGCGTATACTTTCGCGATGGTTTTCGCATCTGGCTTACGTTAGTGAATTATTGTTGAGCTAAGCTTGTCTATTAAATTTTCCTTTTGATGGCAGTGGGTCTTTAATCCACGAAATCCCTGATTTCGGCTTTCTTGAAATTTTCCTTAAAAAAATCCTTTAAAGTCCCTGCTCGGGCGCCATTATTATAGCTACTTGGTTAGTTTGGTTGTTGGGCCGCGGCGGGTAGGTTACTTCTTGATTTCCGATGGACTACCGATTTGCGAGTTTGTTATTTGCCTGACTGCTATGGCTGATGGACTGCCTATCGACTGCCGATTGACTATGGCTGATGGACTGCCTATCGACTCGAAAGCGAACTCCTAGCGAACTCCTAGCGAACTGCAAGCGAACTGCAAGCGAACTCCCGATTTGCGAACTGATGGCGAACTGATCTAGTACAGGGAGAACTCAGATATATATAACGTTTTTCCTTTCTTGATAGGGGACATTGCTTTGAGCTGGGCTCGGGTTTCGTTTTAGCGTGTTGACCGGCCCTTTTCCATGTATTTGTGTATTTGGAGGGTGATTGCATTTCCTTGACATTCGATGGCCCGTGTGCTGAGTCCTCGGTTTTCCTGTCTGCCGGCCGCGCCTTGTGCTGAGGTTGGTAGTTATTTTTCGTTATTTTGTCTATTGCTGTTCCCATTTTCGTGGATTTTGGTGGCGCGTGTGCTGAGTTTTCATTTTGTTGGGTGTTGACCTCGTCTTTTGAGAGCTTTGGTTACTTGGTTTTGCTGTGGTGGGGGTGGGTTATATAATATTGGCCCACGCCTTTCCGTCGATTGGCCGCGCGTGTGCTGAGTTCTCGGTTGTCATTCTTTCTTCGGTCGACGTCTTTCTGTCTTTTGACCTGTGCGGCATCTTCGAATTCGTTGGTGTTGATATCTGCACCTGGGGGTAGCATTTTTTGCACCGACTGCTTGTGACGAACCACGTTCTACTGTCCTTTGGCTTGTGCCGAGTCTTCGGATTCGTCGGTATTGACCTCGTAACTTTAGCGTGGCTTCGGTAACTTTATATTTTCTGCTGCTGCTGTGATCGTGGAGCTCTTTCTTTTGTTCTGGGTGTTTTGTAGTTAGATTCTGCTTGATGGGTCGATTATCCCATATGACGATGGTTGGCTAGGCGATGTTTGACGTCCTGTGGGGATTAGCATTTTGCCAGGCATTCTCGGATCTGCGGTGCTATGTCGGCTATGTCGGGCTGGTTCTGATGCGTCGTCGATTTCGGGGTCAAAGTGTTGTTTCGGGTCTTCTGGTAGAATGGTGGTGTTGAACGCGCTGGGTGGTTCGATTGGTACAACTGGTACGTGAACAGGTGAGTCGGGATGACGCCTCTGGTATCGCAACAACGACTTATTTGGGCGACGAATATCTCGGACATGGCTCTAGGCATGGCTCGGTGCATGTCGCTAAGGGTCATATCGGTACGCGGAAGGTACTCCAATGGGTTGGCGAAGATATGTGTGGCGTCGGCCGTGGGTACGAATGGGCGACGGTCGGTGTATCGTGGGGTTTCCGGGCCCGCTTTGAGGGGCTCTGTGGATATCAGTTCAATTATGGGCCCCGACCAGTGTGGGGTCAGCGTGGCTGTTTCTCTTGTTGCTGGGCTGTTGATCTATTGTTGCCGTTGTCGGTGTGGATGTTGTTATCTTGGTTCAGGGCTGATTGTTGTCTCTGAGGGTGTCTCTGTGTTCACTTTCTCCTTTGAGAAGATGGTACTTACATGCTCTGTTGCTGGTCATGGACCTGGTGGAGCGACGGGTTCCAGTGCGTTAGAGCTTGTCTCGTGTGTGAGATTTTCGTAGTTTCTTTGGGGTATGTGTCCCCTGTGGTTGGCCTAGGATGCGGTTGCTCCGTAGTTTTCGTTTTCCCGGTTGATTGTTTGTTGTTCGGATTCGTGTTCTCCGTTGTGGGCAGGCGCTTTGCCTTTGCTGGGGCTGGGCTGGGTGTCGTGTTCTTCGTGGCGATCTGTGTTGTTTTATTCGTTGGATAAGGTCGTGGTCGTGTGTTTGCTGGGGTTTGTATGGGTGTTATGTTGGCGCTGCTGGGTGCCGAAATCGTTGGGATAGGTTGCGGTCTTATGACGGCTGCCGTTCGCTTCGGTTTCTGGAGTCGGGGTTTGTTGCCTTGTACTCTGTTGGCTGGAACGGTGTGGATCACTGATCTCGTAATTGTAGAAGTGTGGTACCGCAATGGATCGTTGTTTCAATGTTTCATGCCGACGATAACTTGATCTAACACATTTGGTAGGACAAGGAGGGGTATTTGAACTTCTCTTTGATCCAGCCTGATGTGCGCCAGTAGAATCTGTGTGATCTCTCTGACCGAGCCTTCAGCCAGGCGAATGCAGACGCATGCATCTTGCAGGTTGGTGTTGTTGTCTAGTTGTCGGGCGAGGTTAGCACTGATAAAGCTTCGGGTTGCCCCTGTGTCGACTGTGGCTTCCGTTGCATGCCCTCCTATGGTTACCATTGCCACTATACGGTTCATGTGTAGCGGGGTTTTTATTCGCTTGCCACATTCCCAGCAGAATAGGATCGAAGGATTTTGGCAGTCGTATGCCGCATGTCCTGTGGGTTGGCGATCATGCCATGTGCTACTTCGGGATTTACCGTACTGGCTGGGTTTGATGGCTGTCTCCTTGGTGTAGGCCAATGGGGCCGATTGCCAATGGGGCTTCCGAAATGGTGTCCGATTGGAGTCGCCGCTCCTCAGCTCTGTAGCCGGCCTTGCGTATCTGGGCGTGTTTCGCGGTGGTGCGAGAGTGGTCCGCTCTTGAATACTCTCGAACTCCATGGCCAACAGTGTGAGCTGTGCCAAGCTTTGTAGTTCGTGTCGGCGCACGTACATCTGGTATGCCGGCAGGGCCTTGTCGTAGATCCTGTTCAGCTCCTAGGCTGCGTCGTAGCCGGCGTTGTGCATGAGTAGACGTATTTCAATGAGGAAATCTTTGAACAGTTCCCCCACCACTTGCTTGCGGGCTCGGATCTGGTCTTCCAATTGTTCAAAATACTGTGGTGGCAGGAAGAACGTTAAGAATTACTGGCGGAAATTTTCCCATGAGGAACTTTGTAGGCGGCTGGTGCGGAACCAACGACTTGCACGGTCTGTGAGAAGTTCGGCCATGGCCCGCGGCAGCTGGTTTATGTCCACCCCATACGAGAGCGCGCGTTCTTCAAGCAGTTCGATGAACGATAGAGGGTCATCTTGGCCGTCAAACTGGATTCCCCATTTTCGGATTCGTTCCGCCATTGGTGCGGTGTGGTTGTAGTGGTGCCCTTCCATGGGTCGGTCGATCGCTGGCACGATCCTCGGTACGGGCGCTGGGTGAGTCTCTGTAGCTAGAGGCCTTGAACGCGGCTGCAGGAGTGCGGTATTCGGTGGCTGCGGGGACTTGTAATCTGCTCTTGGGATCCATTTGGCGAATGGACCAGGAGTAGTGGGCAGTGATGACTTGGAGAGTGAACGTGAGGCTGGCTTGGCATAGTGTCTCTCGAACTCTCCTAAGCGAGCCCAGGCTTCTTGCGCGAGTGGCCCGTCGTCCCGACGGAGTTTATGGATCCAGCCGGTGACCCCTGGATTGGAAAAGTGTCCCGCAGGGTATGCCTTCTGGTTGTTCCTCGTCGTGATATTCCATGGTGGTTTTCTGTTGGTTTTGGCACTGAGTCACTGTTAAACGGCAATTTTAGCATCGGCACTGCGTATACTTTCGCGATGGTTTTCGCGTCTGGCTTACGTTAGTGAATTATTGTTGAGCTAAGACAAGCTTAGATTTTAAATTTTCCTTTTGATGGCAGTGGGTCTTTAATCCACGAAGTCCCTGATTTCGGCTTTCTTGAAATTTTCCTTAAAAAAATCCTTTAAAGTCCCTGCTCGGGCGCCATTATTATAGCTACTTGGTTAGTTTGGTTGTTGGGCCGCGGCGGGTAGGTTACTTCTTGATTTCCGATTGACTACCGATTTGCGAGTTTGTTATTTGCCTGACTGCTATGGCTGATGGACTACCGATCGACTGCCGATTGACTATGGCTGATGGACTGCCTATCGACTCGAGTCCCCGTTTTCCTGTCTGCCGGCCGCGCCTTGTGCTGAGGTTGGTAGTTATTTTTCGTTATTTTGTCTATTGCTGTTCCCATTTTCGTGGATTTTGGTGGCGCGTGTGCTGAGTTTTCATTTTGTTGGGTGTTGACCTCGTCTTTTGAGAGCTTTGGTTACTTGGTTTTTCTGTGGTGGGGGTGGGTTATATAATATTGGCCCACGCCTTCCGTCGATTGGCCGCGCGTGTGCTGAGTTCTCGGTTGTCATTCTTTCTTCGGTCGACGTCTTTCTGTCTTTTGACCTGTGCGGCATCTTCGAATTCGTTGGTGTTGATATCTTCACCTGGGGGTAGCGTTGGTTGCACCGACTGCTTGTGCCAAAGCCAGTTATGATGATGATCGCAAACAATGTACGAATTTGAAACAAAAACAGTTGCATTGGCGAGCATTGAGTCCCAATGTGTATCGTTTTCGAGAAAATTTAAACGTTGGCAAGCAGCCCGAAAAGTGGCGCACAGCATACCATCCACAGTACGCAAGGAAGCGAAGGATGTAGGGCCTGTAATGTTCACTAAAAGCATTCGTCTTGGCGTGGATGAACTGTGCATATTCGTCCGAGGGCATCAGTCGAATAGGTATCAGCGAAGCCAGCAAAACAACGTCCCTCTCTTTCGGCGTTGAAACTTTATTGATGAAGCCTTCCATGTTTAATAGCGCGGCATTTCCTAATAGAGTAAAGCCCTTGCAAGCAGATCGCTTTCGCATGTCCAAAAAAAAAATTTGTCAATATTGTCGCTATTGGTCGTTCTGCCCTTTGCGCTATATTTGCGTCCGTAAACTATACACGATGTCCGTTTTCCACGTGAAATGCCAATTGCACGACAGTCGGGTGACGCTCATGGATCGGAAATGAAAACAGACTCCAAATTGCCTCGTTACAACTCACGCCCAAGTTGAAATTTCGTCCTCTCGTCGTTTGCCGGACCGGCAATGCAAAACACCGCCATGTCGCTCCCTTTGTTGAAATGTTTGCAAACGTATTTGATGGATTTGATGGAGTTGCAGTACTCAACAGTGCAGTGGTTTGAGAACGTATATGACAAAAGCGGACAGTATGGAACGATCCCGCGGTTATCGATAACGACATTCTTTCACTTTCATCACGATTGATCTGATTTTGTCATTTGGTGAATAACGCCGATACAATGGATACAATGTGTCGTTCACCAACAGACGGGGAAAACGCTTTGTGCACTTTTCGTTTTCCATACACGGTGACTCTGGGTGACTCTCCGCAAGGGCCAATATGGGCCAGAATCAATATGAGCTGGTCGAATCTTGACGAACATTTAAAGCAAAATGTGTGCAGGTGGTACATCTAAAAACGAATTTCGCCAAAAACCTTTTCCTTAACAATGTAATTCATGAGTACTCTGATTTTTTGTTTGAATAATCGTGCAGTAATCGTGCTGAATGTTTGTCTTGTCAGCAACAGATTCGCAATTTCGGGCCATTTCGGGTTGGAAGTGAACGTGATGAACAACATAAATATCTGGGAGAATAGTCAAACAACCTATGTTGGCGGCGTTTTGTTCAGTAGCGATGGCGTCAAGTAAGTGGATGTTTTGATCGTAACTTCGACTGATTAAAACGAATAAAATTCAGCCGCTTTACGTACATGTCGACGCAGTACTGTTGAAACAATCGACGATATCTTAAAAGATGTTTGTCATCCTCTTGCCGAATCATCAATCGATACGAATAAAAATTCATTGCGCTGACCTTCTTATTCGTTTCTTCTCCTGAAATATGAAATTATCCAACTTAGTTGTAGAATGAAAAAAAAGAATTAATTGCTTTTAAACAAACCTGTTATTGCATTGACCATTTAAATGGTAGCCATCCTCTCCACGACAGAACATCAATGGGTATTGAAGTGAATCATATGACCGATGAGTCTCATATACTCGGTGACCATAGAGAAACGAATACAATGGCTCTGGCGGATGAGTCAAATCGGGCAATTGTACCTTTCCAGCAGCGCAGCATATGCAAGGGGTTTTCGATTGAAACTTCAATGCATTGCAATGCTGGCATACGACAAACAATGAACCGATATCAATGCAGCGAAAATCTTGGTAGGCTATTGCGCAATCGTACTCGAAAGCAGAGCGATTCAAGTCTACAGGTCTAGTTTGAGGTGGTAATTGTGCAACACGAACCTTTGCAATATGGGCACGTCTCCATTCATTTACTTCTGCACGTTCCTATTTCGTTAGATTAATAGAGACATTCCAATTACTTATTTCACGACGTGTACGTCGTCCAAGGCTTGATCGTCTAATATCATGCATAACATAACTCAATTGAAAAATATTGTCTCGAGTTTAGAACTCGTCTCCAACTATGGCAATTGCCTCTTCGCCTACTTCCATAAAAGAAACAAATACAAAATCACTTTTTTCGCGATCGTACGTTGGTTTTTCAAAAATTTTCTTTCATAGAAATATTAGCAAATACGAACAACTAAACAAAATTTTATCAAAATCGGACCAGCCATCGCGATCGATGGTTCCTTCTGACAAATACGAACAACTGAAAAAAAATGTAGACCAAATCTGCCCAGCCGTTCTCACGTGATGATGCACTATACATTTTTATTATCTCTCCATTTTTATATTTATAGATTAATAAATAATAATATCCATATAATCTGTATTCATTTGACTGCCTTAATTAAATATAATTTGTCTTCATTACTACACTTTTATAGCTGGCTTGCACTTTTTTTCTTCCATTTTTAATATGTGTGTGTGTACGAGTGCCTTTTGGACGATTTTTTTTTTTGTGTTCTTTTTTTGGTTCATGATGTAGGTCTATTGTAAACAATTTTAAGTTAAATGCGGGACCAACGGACGAAATGGAGATTGTGCAACAGGAATTTATATGCTCCTGGTGGCCAAGTCGGACGGATGGATGCGGTTTAACCTTCGCCTGGTTCTGCTCCTTACCAATCTTTTAGAGAGGACGTTCGGGTGGGTCCTTAGTTTGGTCAGGTATCTTGTGGCTTGCTCGTTAATAACGTCACCGACTGAGGGAACTCCAAGGTCTTTGGCGATGTCTCTATTACGGACATACCATTCAGCAGCACAGATCTTTCGAAGGATCTTGTTCTGAAACACCCTGATGCCCAAGGTCCATAGATCTGGATGACATTTCCCCATGCAGGCGCCAGGATTACCTTATATATGCGGATCTTGTTGGCCAGGCTGAGCTTGTTGTTAGGCTTAAGAAGTCAGTAGAGTTTTCTAGCCTTTCTTTCTAAGGCGCTTCTGACCATCCTTGTGTGGCTGGCAAAATTCAGGCGGGTGTCTAGCGTGATTCCCAGGTACTTAAGTTCCTTCCGTTGCTCCAACAGCTCGCCATGAAGAAATACTCCAGGGCACGTTCCTTTCCTAAGCGGTTGTGTCACTACCACACACTTCTCAGGGTTCACACTGATATTCCACCTACATGCCCAGTTCTCAAACATTTTAAGGTACCGCTGGAGGTTGTCCGTGGCGTCGTAAACGCAGTTGGCCCTTGACAGGACTGCCGTGTGGCAAGTTTCACATCGATTGGCTGGTACGTATTGTCAACGCTATCCTTAGGCATATCGTGCGTGAAAGGCCTGTACAGCGTTGGCCCTAGCGACTTGGAACGTTCTGTCCTTTAGGTTCCAGTAATCAGGAACAGCTGGGTGTCTATCCTGGGTTTTATCTTCGCAAGTAATCCGTCGTGCCAAACTCTATCGAATGCTTGCTGGATGTCCAGCTACGCTGATACGACATAGTGCTTCTTTTGGAAGCCATCCAGGATATGCTCCACCACCCTATGCAGCTGCTCCGGAGTACCATGCCTCAGCCTGAACCCAAATTGGTTATAAGTGATAGCTCGATTTACGGATGGGCTGTCCAATAATCTGCGAAGAATGCAGCGCACCAGGAGCTTCCAAAAAATGTGGGGAGCAGGCTGATTGGCCTGTAATTGGCCAGGTCGTCCGTGGATTTGCCGGGCAGCAGTTTTGCCACTCTGTTATCTATATTGTCCTTTCCTGTCTATATTGTCCTTTCCTGGGGCTTTTTTATCTTTTAGCAAGCGTATATCCGTCTTTAGTTTCTGGAGCGTGATTGCGGCCTCTGCGAGCCCCATTTTGTGGATTTCATTCAGCTTATCAGCAACTAGGCTTGCTCTCCTCGCTGAGGCCGTCCTGAATGCTCTGAATCTGTACTCCAGCTTATCTGCAAAGACTTCCACCCTGTCCGCTGCTGACCTCGCCCATGAGCCATCTGCCTTCCTTACTGGGGAGTTAGGTGTGGATTGCCGTTTGTACCGGCTCGGGAGCTTCCATAGGGCGTAGTTCGAGTGCACGTCTGCGCCTCAGATAGTAGTTTGTCGGTGGCTTCGGACTTTACCTTGGCCAGCTTTTTTCTCAGACCGTTGGTTACTCTCCTGAAGAGTCTATCCACCCGTGGGTCATTGGTACGAAGGAATTTTTTTCTAGCTCGTGTTCCTCACGGACTGAGAGCAGGCTGCTGGGGATCGACTTGTAGACGAAAAAGTCCAGGCATGGGGGCGTGGAACGGCGACTACTTGGGTAAAAGGTGAGATCCCTCGCTGGTCAGCCATCGATGGGACATTCATCGCCCTTCTAGCTCTTTTTTGTGTGTTTATTTGGCTCTGCGATGTCATATTCACAGTCGATTGGTGATTTATCAGCATCATTACGTAGATTTTACATGATCTGTCGTTTGCTGCATGCTTCCCTCCACAGTTCGAGGAGCAGAGGTCATCAACTGTGTTGGCATTGCAATTGGGGGCATCTGTGCAGTGATCCCCTGAGCACCTACCGGTCGCTTCAGCCAGTAATTTTTTGTGTGATCGAGCTCATAACAGCGAAAGCATTGCCTTACGCCGCTGTTCTTCCTGGGCAGCTCAATTTGTACACGTTGCCAACCAATCCTTGAAATTTAAAGGGCCTCCTTGTTGCTTGGGGGCTGGGCAAGGTCAATGAACTAAACGTTTTGATTTGGAGTTTCCCGCCTGACCCCGTCGGCATTGATGGTTGAGCTCCGAATCCTCAAAGGTCTTGCTTATAGTTTTTGTTTGGGGTGGAAGCTGCTAGATTTTTAACCACTACACGGTAGGCCCTGTCTTCGGAGAGACAGAAGTGGGTGTATTGCACCTGCAGGAAATTGAGGGCCCCGATCACCTGCCTTTGAGTGGCAACGTCCTTGGCATAGATTCTGAGGTCCCCTGAGGGAGCCGTGCGGAATGGGTAATCCTCTTCAGGGATGGGGGCGCTTTGGGCAGCCTCGGCGGCAGCAATGTCCAGAACCCCAGGGGTCGTAATTGGCATTGGTTTCCTATTTTTTTTCGGGACTTGTTCAGCTTGCTTTGGCTGAGCCGGAGCGGGAGTGGACGGTTCATCCTTAGCAAGAGAGCTCTAGGGACCCAACATTGCTTTCGCTTCCGCGATCAGGACATGGTTTAAAGAGACCTGCTCTCGTAAGATGGCAAATCTATTGACCTGTAGAGGGGTATCAGGAGGATCTTGGCGGCTCTTCCCCTTCTTGGGCATATCAGCCGATAATTCTTTTTTTGGACTTGGCTGCGGAAGGCTGCTGCATTTTCGTCATTTTCGGCATTTTGGACGATGAAAGTATTTATTTCATAAGGTTCATAAGGTTGTAACGAACCATGGTTCTAGCCATGGCTCGTCACAAACGGCGAAGGGTCAGCGCATCCACGCTGGCGGGAGACAATAATCTAACTGATATACACAGAGCTAGCGAACCATGGCTCTAGCCACGGTTCTCCACAAATAGCGGTATGTCAGCACCCCGGATGTAAAATAGTCTGATGGATGGACTAGCATCAGCTCGCTGCCTACTACATTCTTTTACGAGCCAGCCCGACACCTGAAGTCACCTACAAGCTACAAATTGTCTTGTAGCGAACCCTGGACAGACTGATGCATACCTCAGCCTGAAATAGGATCCTCACAAGTGGCGCCCGAGCAGGGACTTTTTGGTGACTTTAAGGAGACTAACACCTTAATACGGAGCTTTGTGGAGTAAAAACCCACGGCCACTGAAAGAGACTAGGCTAGCAAGGATCAATAACCGTCAAGCACAAAAACGCAACATCCAGTCGCAAGCAAAAGTGCTAGAGTACAAAAGTACCACAAACAACCCGTAAGTCAGTGCTACTAACCACAGAACCACACCATGGAAGCCCACGGAGCCGGTGAACCCGACGAATTTTGCCCGGAGGGACTCCATACCAATCCAGGAATCACCACCGGATGGATCTCCAAACTCCGGCGGGACGAGCTGGAAACCCTGGCCGAGGAATTCGGATTTGGCAACGAAGGAACAGTCGAGGAACGACGAAAGAGATTCGCCGCATTAGTCGCCGGAACACTCTCGCAGGACGCCTGGGTTCGACTAGGAGACCTTGAACGGCAATACGCCAAACCAGCAGGACGCTCCAGGTCACCCATCCCCACCACTCCTAGGACATCTGACCAGCGGAAAACCGACCCAAAAGTCGGGTTACAAGTCCCCACCGCGTCCGAATACAGCACACCTGGCCCACCACGCATCGTAACGCCAGCCGATTTGCCCAGACCTCCAGTTACGGAGACCAGCCGCTCGCCCACACAGAGGATCGTGCCAGCCATGGACTCTTCCATAGATGGACGCCACCACAGCCACACCGCCCACATCGCCCACATCGACACCGGGGCATCCAGAAGCTTCATCAGCGCAAACCTCGCCCGACAACTAGACAACAACACCAACCTGCAAGACGCATGCGTCCGCATTCGCCTGGCCGATGGCTCGGTCAGAGAGATCTCACAAGTTCTACTGGCGCACATCAAGCTGGATCAACGAGAGGTTCAAATCCCGCTCCTGGTCCTGCCAAACATGTTGGGACAAGTCATTGTCGGCATGGACTTCCTAGGTGCCACCGAAACGACGATCCAATGCGGATCCACGCTGCTGCAGCTACGAGACTGTCACACCATGCCCACTGAACCCGTGCTTACTACCATCCACGTACAAGACGCCGAACCCCGATACCAGAAACCCCAACAAATCGCAACGAACCTACGCCCACGACCTACCACAACGCACACGGCACCCAATAACGCAACGCAGCACTTGACACCCAAACCAATCGCAACGAATACGAAGCAACGGCATACTACGGAGAACACGAATCCAAGGTCAACACCAGCAAACCGCAATCAAGCAATCGGGAAAATGAGTCCCACGGTCACTACGGAGCA